CAAGGATGAGCTAGGGGAGAAAATGCAGATGAGCCCCATGCGGCCTCGCCCGGGATCTAGCAGATGTGGTCATCTTAACCTTCCGCTTGATCCTAAGCCTCGCCAAGCCCATAGAATTCTATCGAGGAGGCTATTAGGCCACCCGGGTCGGTTCTCTAGAATGACCCTGCATTTGTCGGGTTGTAGGTAAAGGAGCAGTGGAATGTCACAAGAGGGCTATGCCGAATTCTATCACTAACGACGGACTCGGATTCCACTCGATCATACCAGTTAGCTTAACTCACCGAGCGCGCCACTCGAGCCTCGAAAGCGATCGGGACAACCGATAAAACTCAGCTCCTCCGGTTGTGAGGAACCGAGGACGGGTAACGACACAACTCACGCCGACCCTACTAAAGCCCAACGGGCTCGGGGCTCAAGACACAAAACGCTCGGGTCTACAACCCCGAACTCGCCCCTTCCGCCACGCTTCATCGCACTAAAACCACCGGTGCGACCCGAACTCACCCCATCCGCCACGCTCGATCAAGGCCCAAAACTACCGGGTCGCGCGACCGAACTCGCCCCATCCAGCCACGCTCGACTACAATCCAAACACCGTCTCGCGACCGAACTCGCCCGTCAGATCTATGAGCTCACTCGCCGATCCCAAACTAACTAAACTAATCGCTTCGGCTTGCGCGGGTCGCATTTCAAGGCCAGATCCACTATCTCGACTCGCCGATCCCAAGGCGCGCACCGATGCTGCGGATCCGCGAGCCTCGCCTTTGTCCGATCCCTAAAACACTAACTACCTCGCCCGATCCCATCGGCGCGCGATCGACGCCTCGGATCCACGACTCGACTCACCCGATCCCACGGCGCGACCGACGTTAGGGATCCGTGAGCTCTGGCCTTGTTCGATCCCTAAAAGACTAACTACCTCGCCCAATCCCACAAATACAGACGACGCTGAGGGATCCGCGAGCTCCGCCTCACCCGATCCCTAAAACAACTAACCGCTTCTTGGCTAGAACGACGCCTTTGGTTGACAAATTGTCTCGACTAAAAAGCACGCACACGCCCACGACAAAAAACCCCAAACAATTCGCCTGAATTGCCCCGGGGCTTGAGGCTACAGAAGAGGCTTCACAGACCCGCCCGACAAAACAAAAACCTCCTCACCGGCAACACTAAAAAACACCCTAGACGGTTCTCGCCTGAATCGCCGGGGGCTAGACTCATGGAAGGCCACAGCACCATTGTCGAGTCAAAATCCCTGACGATTCTCGCGCTGAATCGCCCAGGGCTCGGGGCACCTGTCGGGTTCATAAACCGGGGTCCTCATGGACCGACTTCCCCGCAAAGGCTCGGCCCAAACAGACAAACAGCAACTCATGAGCCGCCCAAGAGTCTAAACAATGTGCTAGAAGGGCGATCCAATCACCGACCGGAAGGTCTCGCCGAGGAGGAGCTGCACCTGCTCGACTCACCCATGTCTCCGACCGAGCACTCGCCCAACTCCAGCCTCCCGACAAGCCTCTTCAACCGGAAGGCCTGGCCAAAGCACTACTTTTTGACTCGACCCACGTCTCCTAATCGGGCATGAGAAGTCTCCGCTCACCACTCTTCTCCGATCGGGCAATCGAGCCGATCGGGACCAACCGACCGAGGACGCCTGGCCGGAAAGGACGGTGGAATGAACGGAGAAAGCAAGGCAAGGACAAGTCAAACCACGATACTAGGGACCATACCCGTGACACTGCAAAAATAGTACTGCGTGAACCGCCGACATGAAAAAGGTTGTAGGGGTCGACTTTTTACCCACAAAGATTGTAGGGCGCCATCGGCTCCCATATCAGTAAGCCCCCCACATGTCTCTCGGGCATCGACAAGGTTGTGGGGCCGGAACTTACTGCATCTGAGTGAACATGGTAAGACTCCTCACATGCCTCTAGCATCAACAGTATATGCAGGTACCGACATCTGCCATACCCGAACAAAGACAACGGAACCTCCCATATGCATCCGACATCCAACAAAGGTTGTGGGCGCCTACCATCGTCTTTGCACTCTGGCGTGGGCAATAAGGTTTAGAAGTATACGCATTCTCTCCATCTCACTTTGTAAAGTCATCCCTTCATCTATATAAAGGATGCGCTCTCCCAAGTTGATTCAAGTTCATACAAGTTATTCCAGATTCATTAGATCGACCAAGCTCACTAGCTCACAACCACGTAAAACCGCCTGTGTTGGGACCTCAAGCACACGCTTGAACACTTAGCTCATAGCGGAGTTCTCGTCGCTCGGCCCTCCGGGACCGAGCCGAATTGGGACCTCTTGTACACCCTATCTTTCTCCTTCTCGCTTGTAACCCCATCGCAAAACCTCGAGCACACTGGCTCAGAATAAAGTCACCAACCTGCTCAAATCGAACGAGGCACGCCGCCTGAACCAAAGATAAACCCCGGTCATTGAGTGCTAGGCCACCTCCGATCACAACGTACGGTAAAACTATAAATATTTACTAGTTGGTCATTTTCTACACCGACACTACTGTTAAGTATGTTTTCAACTTTTAAAATTCAAGGTTAGATTTAATCTATTATTTTACTAAAGAAAATCTTGGTTATTTCATATCTTCTACGCTTTTAGTCTCGAATTGACCCTTGTTCAAGTTGTGCTAGATTCATTGCAACGAGATCTACGCGTTAGTAATAATGTTTATCATGTCCCTATTTCTAGAATTTCATAGTTTAAACTTTAATTTGAATAATAATTATGCAACTGGATTTTATAAATAAAATATGATTTGTTTTACCTTAGTTTTATAATTCAGATCTAAATTTGACTTAATTTATATTATCTATAAAATATCTTATATATGTTTTTATATAGTTAAAACACCTGAAGCTAATAGTTTTATATTTTCTTTTATAAGTAGATCTTTCGGTAGATGTATCTTTTTCACCGTAGCTCCGATTAGAGTGCTTTTCGCGTTTGTGTGTTCGTAGCAAGACGTAGATTCGTTTTACAAACTTTTCATCTTGATTTTATGATTTGTGTATTGTTCTAATTTAGATCTATTGTTTCCTTCGTGTATGATTGCATGGATGCTTGTGTGGTGCTTTATGATCATGTCCAGTCGTGAGCTTTACGTGTTGATCAAGAAGCAGATCTTTGAAGTTTTGGACTTGAAGAAGGATCTAAGTTTAAGGCAAGTATAGCATGGGATCTTTCTTGTTGTCCTATACACCTTTAATCATCTAATTCATACTGCATGTGTCTACCTTGACTGTCTCTAAGGATTTTTTAGTACCTTGTTACCTTGTACCTTGATTCCTTTGGGTTATTGCGTTGGGTGGTATGATGCTAGTGCTCAACTAAAGCCAACTTGACTAATGGTATATGCAATAAACACTAAAAGATGCTTTTTAGCAACATAGAAACAGGGGGCTAGAGAGTTTAGCTACTTTCTAAATGCTCTAGATTCCTCTCCCTAAGGACTTATCTGCAAGTGATCATCCGGGATTTACAATACAGCTGTGAGGGCTATATGGCTCTGGCTTTAGCTCAGTATGAGGACATTTTCTAGCTTGTTAGTGGTTATCTTTATGGCGCAAGAGGGGCTCTGGTTTGTATGATCTCGGCATGCCAAGAGGGTGCACTTTGGTTTCTTTGTATTTTGTTAGTCACTCTTTGGAGGGGGTTCATGCTTACTTATGGGGAAACCTTAGGACCTAACTTGTTAGATTTAATCTTTGAAAGGCTTCATAGTGAACCCCGCCAATCTTTCTTGGTAGTGGGTTAAGAGGCTCATGATCTCGGATTTAAAGGGTAAATCACTTACTCACAAAGGAAAGTGTACAACCTCTCGCAGAGTGTAAATCTGGTATATCACCCGTGCTCACTGGCAAGTCACGAGCGGCCTTGAAACATTTATTTAAATAGATGATGAACACTAATGATATGGATGATGAAGATGCTCACTAATGATTAATTATTTATGCTATTCATTATTCATGTTTACCCGATCATGTGTTTATATGAGCTTGTGAATAAACTTGTTGCCACCCTATTGTTAAAAGATGACTCATTAAAAGCTAATCGTGATTAAACCAAAGGTCAGGTCTTTTGAGCCTCATGAACCCTATGTTATATTTGTTGAGTAATGATATGTACTTATGTTTGCTTTATTTTTAATTATTTGGATAAAAATCCGGATGGGTACCAGATTACTAGAGTTTGGAGGAAATATGCTTGTGATCAACCAAATCATTGTCCCCTCATGGATTTGGAGTCTTCGCTTGAAGATCGGAGTTGTCTTTCCACTTATCTATACCGAGGTTATAATCTTTATACCAATACGCTTATGTATTTAAGCATTGTCTTTTGATATTACCCTTATTTGTAGCTATATGTGATATTTGACTTTAGGCTCACATATGGTGTGTATCTCGGTTTTGTTCTTAAAACCGACGCCTAAAGTGATATCGGAACAATGTTTGGCTATAGACATAAGCCCCGTTAGAAATTGGCCGTCTTAAGGTTTTTAAAATTACTATAAAATCATTGTTCTATAAATCTTGAAATTGCTATAAAATTTTTGTTCTATAAATGTTTTGGTAATCTTGGAAACAATAAAACATATCGTCCCATTAGCATCGGTTATAAGTAGAAAACAGAATTCACAATTTAAATAGCTAAACACTAACCCACACTCAAGGATGAAGGGGTATAAACACCAACAGGTTCGTTCCACAAACTGAGATAAGTCAACTGGCGCAACAAGGAAAGAGTGACTGCATTTGCCGACGCGCGACCAAGGGTACGAGCCAATAAAAACATCACAAGATTTGAGTATTACTAACAAACAGCGATACAATATCCATGGAAGTATAGCAACTTGGAAAGTTAAAACATTGACCGGAAAGGTGCCATAGCCTAAAAGACTACCTCCAAAACTTTAGGTGCAGTCGGCAAAACAGAACAAATTCAAGTAACCATTCTATCCGAGATCACTAGCAGACATTGTGCACGGATGTCTCCACAATGACATATATGGCAAAAAATCTCAGCGGCACGGCATTGGTTCCGTGGCCTGGTGGACCAGGTCGACGAGGAGGACGAAGAGTTTGAGGAAAATCTTGATCCACCACGCCAGCGGTCAGTAGCCGGAGGAGGGCCATCTTGGCGGGGTGGGGTGCATCCTGTCGCGCAGGAGGGCCATCTTGCCTGAGTGAACACTCATCAGGGCGCGAGCGCTCTCCACGTGGACCCCAGCGGTCTTCATCGCGTGGGCGCACATCTGTTGGCCTCCGGCTGCCACCAGGTGGACCCCAGCGGTCTTCATCCCGTGGGCGCACATCTGTTGGTCTCTGGCTCCCACCAGGTGGACCCCAGCGGTCTTCATCGCGTGAGCGCACATCTGTTGGCCTCTGGCTGCCACCAGAGCTGCTGCCGCTATCGCCGCTGAGTTTAAACTTAGGAACATATCTACCAGGAGCTGGAGCAGCGGCTGCCGCAGCTGCAGCAGGGGCTGCTGCTGGCTCACGAGGTGGCTGTGCAACAGGTGTAGAATCAGGAGTGTGCACAGCCTCAGATCCCTTCAAGAGCTTCTCCCTGCTCGTCTTTGCCTTCTCCTCCAACTCCATCTCTCTCAGTCGCTGCTTTTCAGCAATAGCATCAAGCTTAGCTTTCCTTTCAGCCTCCTCTCTCTTCCTCCTCTCTTCCTCTGCGGGAGAGTATAAACAATATAATCAATAATATGGATGAAACAGGATTTGAATCCTTAAGTTCCATTTGGCCAAATATGGAATGATATAGAGACTGAGCCACATTCAGTTACACAGTAGCAAATAGAGTTTATGCTATTTGTTGATTAAGTATCAAAAATCAATGCTAGGTTAGTGTTGGATCAGTTTGAACAGGGAACTCTTCATATACTGACCAAAAACTAATTTTAGTATCGCAATGGTGGAAAAACAAAACCGAACATTAGTAATTTGATTCATTATTAACGAGACATCAAAACCAATGAAATCATGTGAACAGCATTCAGACAATTATTTTTAGTATTAAAACAAAGCACACAAAACTGAAAACATTACACATTTATACCTACAAGTAAACTTTTAACTTTAGGTGAAAGAACTACAACGTTATGGTTCAATTTCAGTAGTTTTCGAAGAAGACCAAACTGAACTAGGCGAAATAGCCAGTGGCCAACTTTCAAGGTAAACTAGACCACATTTTGCTCATTCTTACTTTTTACAATGCACCACGGCCATTTTGACTACAATTACAGGATAACACAAAAATAATTTACTGGTCAAAGTTTTGCTTTGAAAGGTACCCAAAAAACCAAGCAGAAGTGTGCCAACAAGTACAATCAACGAATGATGAATATAATCGGTTCAGAATTCACTTGCCTTCACGTTTTCTAGCTTCCTCTTCCTCGTGAAGTTTTCAATCCGCTGTTCCTCCAGGTTCAGATAATACATCAATTTCCTTACTGTCTCCCTTTCACGCTTTCTTGATGATATCAGCTGACTGATCCGTTCATCTCTCTCTTTTTTCAGACGGCCAAACTCAGCTTCATGACGTTGGACGATTTTCTCCTGGAAAGCATTCTGCAACAGCTAAACAGAAAGTCAGGAAGAGAAGGGAAGGTTATTGTCATGAACAAAGATATCGGAATATATAGTCAGCTTGACAGCTCGTTAGTTAAGAGGCACAAAAGAATCTCAAATTCGAGCATCATGTTCTATAAATCTCAATGAAAATTACAGTGGCCAGCATTAGATCCTGAGCAATCTTATCTTGATTATAGGGTAAGGCATTCTATGTATAACAAATACTCCCTCTGTTCCAAATTATAAGTCGTTTTGGTTTTTCAAGATACATTGTTTTTGCTATGTATCTAGACAGTGTATATCTAAGCGCATAGCAAAACTAACGTATCTAGAAAAGCTAAAAAATGTCTTATAATTTGGAACGGAGGAAGTAGCAAGCAACCATAAATTCATTGCTATATGTTAACAGATTAGTCGAAGTGTATATCAAAATAACCATTTGTAATAAGAGGTGGTTTTGGATCAAAACAGCATCACAGGTTAAATATACACCAAACAGAAGCAACCTGCATTGTGATGTAGAGGCTTAATAACAAAGACATGAGTAGCATATGAACCTTGTGTTCCAACATTCGAGAAAGTCTATTTTTCTCTTGCAAGTCGCCAGCATGGTGTTGCTTGCTGAGTTCAATCTCCCGCTGCAAGCAGAAATAAATGACTAAAGTGCTCACATGTATCTGAACTGCATAAACAATAAAAGAACAGTAGAAAACTGACAAGCTGCTCTTGCTCGTGAAGGATCTTCTCTTCCTCAAGACGTTTCTCGAAAGCTTGCTCGATCAGTGGTGCCTCTTCCTGCCTTTTTGCCCTTTCCAGATAATCCATTGTTTTTGCAAGCCTCTGCAGTTTTTTCTCCATTTCCTGGCGCTCCTTCAACTGTTCATTCAATGCCAATTCCATGATGGCCTCCTTAGTAAGCTCCTGCACCCAAATATTCAGATCTATAAGAATATTGAAGAGGTTTGCAATTCAAAGATAGAATGGTAATTCAAGTTCTAGCCAACACTAGAATAGAGAATTTTAGGCTTTTAGCAGTGTGACTGATCAACATTACTTCAGTACAACGGCACAATGTGATCGATAGTACATGTAGCAAGATAATACAAAACTGAAAATTAGTACATGTAGCAAGATAATACAAAACTGAAAATCAATAAATACAATCATCCGCCTTAGCATGTAGCATATTTAGGATTAAAAATGAAATTTAGTTCTATCGCATCTTGTACCATCAAATTTTAGTCCGCAGCCAAAATAATATTCAATTATCCCATGCACCATATCAGACATCTAAGTTGCCCACTAACAAAACCAAACGAGCACACAGGTGCCAACACGTTTGTACAATACTGAAATGAAGCACGAAATACAAGATCTGAGCCCGGCATGGAGTTCGCCTCCTTGTTTGAGCCAGAAATTCCCAATTGAAACCTTGATCATGTCTACATGTACATCACCTTTCACCTACTGGTTATCTGATCCTCCACTAAAATCCTTATAGAAACTTAAAGCAAATAAAGGACCATTGTTTGACAAATATAGATAGTGAAGCAATGCTAGTTGTTGTAAAGCAATAACTGTTTCTTACCCCTTCAACAACGACATGTTTTTTTCCCTGCTTTCTTCAAGTCTTCTAGCAACTTTTGCTTCTGCTTTATTTTTTCCTCTATCTCTACTGAATCCGCTCGTGCTCCTCTCTGCTTCTGTTCATTGAGAAGCCTCACCCTTTCCTCGTCCACGCAGTTTTCCTTTGACTGTTCATTCTCTTTGTTTCTTCTTCTTTTTCCTGGAAAATAGAGCAACCATAAACAAAAAACGTAATATAAAAGGTAAAACTACAAAGCATTGAAGAGTAATCAAATAGCATATACCTTCTCCAATATTTTGCGCTCAAGCTCTTCTTTGCGCTTTTCAATGATGGACTTTCTTGCAAGAAGCCTCTTTATGTTCATTCTCCACTATTCCAGCCAAACTAATGAGACTTTCACCGAGTTTAGTCAGCTTTTTTCACTGGTGGATGAATATGATTCCTCGCTTTATTTAATGAATCAGCCAGAACACTAAGGTGATCACTTAATCCATCAGATTCTATGTCCTATAAAGAGAAATTGGTCATAATAATGTCAGTGTTCAATCTCATCATGAAGTAATGCATTCAGCATCACACAAAAATATGACAGATAGCTGGCAATCCAAGTAAATTCAAGCACATAAGAACACCAGCAAGATCTTCCAGATTTCACAAATATGTTCAAACACAACTTGAGGAGCTAAAGGGTTATTGCATGTATTCTGAAAGAAAAGGGTACCACAGTGGAGCACATGCTCATAAAGTCATAAAATACATACAGTGGTACTGCATACATGTGACAATGCGAACCCACTGTACAAAACCTTGACCCATGTGGTACTGCATACATGTGTTTCTAGAAGATAAAACATCAAGGAACATGAAATAATGGAGGGCCAATATAGACCTTGCACATCTTAAATACTTAAATCATGAAAAGAAAACGATATAACAGACATCTACACGAAGCTTACAACCAAGAGGCAACTGTGAACAGATAATGAACAGAGTCAGGACCACATACCACAGTACCAAAATGAACAGCTCCTGATAAATGGTTAACTTTTATAGCAACAAAATTGTGTTTCACAGCATCAACAGAAATCTTCTCCACAACAGAGAAGTCAAAGAAAGGATCATTCTTGAGAGCATATCAATCTTCATGGACTGGAAAATAAAAAGAGGCCTGAAAAGTGGAAGAGACATTAAAATCATTATTGCAACATATAGCAATTATATAAGATATGTACAAACATATATAGCAGAACGTGAATTAGGACCTGTTGCAGCACTCTCAATGTTGTCAGCTTCTCCAATGCTGATATGTACTGAGATAACTTAACCTCTGGAACAGAAGAAGCTGATGAAAGCTTCCCTCCAATCTTTGAAATCTTTGAAAGAAGTGGCTGCACTTTTGATGCAAGGTCCAGAGGGAGAAACTCATGTTCCAAAAGGTTGTATAAATCTCGCACTTCTTGGGAAGCACATGAAAGGACTCCTTTGGACACCTACAAGCCATCAAAGATATTGATAGCTATTTATGACAGCAGAGAGATAGCATTGATTTTATATTGATGGACCAGAGTAAAGAGATGACAATGCTTTCATATTTCAGCTATCCAACTCACATAGTAAAAAGGAGAATCATGTTAAGTGCTGCAAATAAGCAGTTAATTATAACATAAAATAACTTAGCAGCACAATTGCCACAGAAGAAAGCTCTTTGAAAGTGTCATGGCCATGCTGAATCGTTTGATGTAATTACAATATCACATGCATTAAAATGTCCCTTCCTGAGCAAGACATCTTTCTAGAGTGATAAAACAAAATAATAATAAAATGCTTATAAAGGAATGCATGTGGTAAGACCAAATACAAAAATTAGAAAAACACAGTTGCAGGAATAACAGTATGATTTTCAGAACGTACCAATTGGATAGAAGAGAAGCTCTTGAAGGCTGCAAAAAGGATAGCAGACTGATCAGGGGTGGAAAAAGTGCTACTGAACAAACTCTTTAATTTACAAACAATTTGGAGAATAAACCATTTCCCTATTTTCACGCTTTGGAATCAAGCGAGAAGTTAACAAGGTTGGCCATCCGCGTGATGTTACGCCTCCTTCTCATTCTCTGCCTCAAAATGAGATGCACCATATTTTTTGGTCATAAGGTGCCACAGATAGTGCAGCGAGCAAGACAGAAGATGCTATTAATTGTAGATCCTTCTGTGACAAGTTCTTATTGTAGCTCTTTTTGCAAGTTGAAAAGCTTGAGCCATGCATATTTATGATAAAGGTGGCTATCAGATATCCAGAAAATTTCAGTTAATTTTGCATAATACACCACCCAAGACAGAAGGTTTGGGCATTTTCTTCACCATGCTCATCAAAACCATGGATATCTTCCACAGATCGGAAGGCTTCCTGCAAGATGGTATATTCAGTGACAATTAGAGGAATGTAACATTTACATGGATAAAGAATTAATTAAAATACGTAGATTCTGGAACAAACCTGCCATAGGGAAACCTCTGTAGCAACTTTTAAGCTGTTCAAACACGTGTATCAAGATACAGTTGTAAACTTTCAGGTGCAGTCAGATCAGGCCGATCTCTTTGATCGCGATATTTGTTGAGATTGGCAAGATGATTTCTGATGATCTCTACACTACCCTACTTTGAATTCAGTTGTTCTCTTTATACTGCTTACAGAATTGAAAAGCCCTATGAGCAGTCATCTGCATATTAGGAAGTTAATCAGTCACAAAAGCTACTCATAAAGTATTTACAGGAGCACAAATTGTACAAGGAATAGAATTAATACAGGCAAATGTAGGTATCCAATAGGAAAGTCAGTAATGCCAAACCATTTAACCAGAATATTAGATGTTACATTAAGCTATTGACTTCAGAAGATATGTTTTGAATTTAATAGCAAAAGTGCGTGGAATTCCAGATAGAAACTGGTTGTATGATCACATATACATCTGAATAGGGTGATTGTTGAATAGATATAGGGAGGCAAAAAAGTATAAATAATTCAACAGAAAATAAAAAACTATATAAATGGTAAATGTGCTGTACTGATATCATGGACAAATTACGTATCACATAATCAAGTAAATTCAACAAATACAAAATAATAGTACAATACAATGTTCATAAGAGAATAGCTTACAGCATATAACGCTTCAAGCTTTGAATTGTTCCTTAGTATCTCAAGAACCGCCCTGTATGTCTCCCAGAGGAACTTAAACCAAGGAGTGACAACCTCTTTATCTGATGGTCCTTTCCTTTCTCCCCCACTAACAAAACTGAGCATCAGGTCCTCGGACGGTTGTCTGCTTCAGATCTTCAACATCCAAAGCATCTTCCAGGGCTTCTGCCTGGCTTTTAGCTTGTTCAGCTCTCTCATTGAAAGCTGCATGAAGTGCTTTATGACATCCTCCAAGGATGACACGCTTACTTGCTGGCAGACAATCCCATACTGAATAAGACCATCTTTTGCATATCTTCCTTTCCTCAGGTCAACACAGAGTTCTACATACTCATCATGATCTTTTCAAGAGGCTTTTTTGCCATGATCTGTACCTTTCTAGGTAATGAGATCATGTAAAGCCTGAGAGCAGCCTGCTTTTTGCCCAACATGAATCAATTCTTGAAATAAAAGCAGAGGAAGCGATCAGTAGTATACATCTTTTACGCCATATGAGTAGATGTATAAGAATTTCATGATCATCTTCAGAACAATATCAGTACAAAGTCATGAGTCATCATGTATAATTAAACAAATTTAGTTAAAATAAAAGTGAGGTCAAAACTCTAGGGTTTTTTTTTTGTAAACTTATTGGTAATCGTAAGTTGGTTATAGCAAGTAAAACATGGATATAAGAAAAAGTACTCCACTGTTCACTTCAGCTTCCACTGGAAGCCTTAAAACTAAATGGTATGGCTTAGCATTGTTATATGACATAATCCATCAAAAAATCTCAATGGGTCAAGCTACCCCACATAATGAGAGCAGAACAGATAACTTGCTAATATTTGTTTGTACATGCAGTAACCGAGGCTTCACCTATCTAATGGAACAACATCAATTTAGCCAATGTTCCAACTTCCAAACCAACCTAACATGTAGAACCTAACCTACCACTCAATGGCTTCATCAGCAGTAAACATTTCCTATTGAATTAGAGCAACAAACACATCAAACACTTCATCTTCACGCTTATCCTAACTATAAGTAAATTAGCGAAGTTCTGCATGCAGCAGGTATAGCTGCAACACTCATCATGACAACAACCACCTGGCATTAGCTGCAGATAAAAACGGAAGCGAGTTCCCAGCGTACTACCTTACCTTCAGCTCTCTTGAGTGCGCTCTTCGTTTCAAAAGCTCTATGGCTCTAGTGAGGGTTCTGT